GTGTGTGTGTAGTGTGTTGTATATATATATATATATATATATATATATATATATATATATATATATATATATATATATTACGTGTATGTGTGGTTGTATATATTTAAGTTCGTATTGATGTAAATTTTCGTTTCTGCGTTTCAAAGCGAAAAATTGTATTTTTAGTATGTGGGTGTGTACCAAGTACATTTGCGTCGAGATATTTCAAAGGCACGTGTACACACAAAATTCTGAATAGTGTTAAGCTAGGTATGACCCCCTATGTCATACTTCCGCGCACAAGTAGTCTACACCTTTGCCACATAGTCATTGAGATATTGACCGGAATACGCCGAACTATTACTACTTTGGACTGAATATAGCAAACAACTACACCTTCAACCTGCGAAATTAGACGCACCTGACGTATAGGAAGCCGCGAGCAGGTACGCCCCTACAAATGATGTAAACTTCACCCTCATGTTTCTGGCTTATTCTTGCAGGTAAGGAGAATTTAAATTCAGAATACATATATATGTGTATAGTTTGTATACACACTATATTGAATCGTCAAGAATGGTTTAGACTGCTTGATTTGCATTGCTTATATGTATGAAGCAAATACAGTACTGGGGAGTAATAAAGCAAGAAGGCGAATGTTTATTTATATATTTATTTAAAAAAACAGCGATAATATACGATTTGAAGTGAAGTCAGAAGTACAGCTTAAAGCGTATTAGCCTGAAATAGCACTGTACGCCTGTGCCCCTGTACGCTACTGTACAAAGTACAAACAGTACAATAGTTGAATAGAGTGGGCTAGATAATAAAATTGTATAAATGACTACTCACTACATACGTAATCTAAAATCCTGTGCCATGTATGGTGTGTAGGAATTGTGAGATTATTAGTGGATCACGAAAACCTTTGCAATATTGCTAAAATCTATAGCGCCAATCAGAATAATGCGTCTTTCTTTTGATTGAGGTTTGTAATCTTTAAACTATCAGACTCGCGCTCGAAGTGTTGAACTCAGAACTCAGTACTTCAAAAATGAGTTTCCATCACTTCTGGTATTTTATTAATAAAAAAATTTAATATATCCAAGTTATGGAACTAAATATCAGACCATCAGTCCCACGATCCAGTCTTTTATTTATAGTTTAAAAGTTCACACACGATATTTTACCCAAATTTAAAGAGAAACCTGAAGGGCTGAAACCTTCATGACTTCACAGGAGGATATTATTTTTATTCTAAAAACATTTTTAAATATGAGCCACAAGTCCACAATACGATCCAGGATCATGATCATCATGATACGATTATGAGTCATAATACGACGTCTATCGATTTTTTATTCAAAACGAATGCGTTCCACTCTCCAACAGACTCCACTCTCTCTCTCTCCACAGACTCCACGTCGAGCAGCAAATACTCAGACGCAGCAAAGTCCACACTCCACAGCAGCGATGTAGTCGCCTGGTCCAGAGTCCACAGTCCACAGTCCACAGTCCACAGTCCACAGTCCACGAGTCCACGAGTCCACGAGTCCACGAGTCCACGAGTCCACGAGTCCACGATTTCACAGTCCACCACTCTCAAAAGTGTAGTCATTTTTTGTACTGTCGTACCGACTCTATTTGACACTACATATGGTCCATTTTGCACCATCTATACTGTCACAGGCTCTGTCCTGGAACCCCAGGCCAGGGCTGCCCTGTTCTTGGAGACTGGACTGCCATCCTGTGGTTAGGCCTGGCTGCAGATACAGTGCCCGAGGTCCGGACATAGACCTGGACCTCTGAGACAAGTGGTCAAAACCGAGTAACACTTAATAAAAAATGTCAAGTCTAAAATAAGTGAACTCAGTCAGAAGTGCCGTTATGATCGGCGCGTCTGCTATATTTATTATCACGTTCCTACATGAAACGAGATTTCCCCTAACAACGGGTAATTCTGAAAATAACCGGATCTATGGTTTTCGTCTCCTGGTTACTAAATTATGATGACACCGTATGAGTCATCTCTATGGTCGTCGTCTCCAGGTAGCTAACTTATGATGACACCATTTGAGTCATCATTATCAAATATTAAATCCTCTGTCCCAGTATTCAGTCCGGTCCCTCAGCCCAGTACTGTAATATTCTACTCAGGTCCGGTCCTCTGGTCCGGTCCTGAAATTCCACTTGTAGGTCGGGCCCTCTGGTCCGGTCCTATATGTCCGTCCTAAAGAACTTTGTCCACAGCCCCGCCAAGTTGGGTATTGGTGTGTTTCAATAACCTTTGAGAGTATCTGTGATAAAATTGGTATTTGAAAATAAAAATACAAGGGAAATCCTACACGGACCGTGGGTTATTGTATCGTCGTATATATTATTTGCAATTTTATCTAAAATGTCGTAATTATTACTGAAACAATCAGCCATAAACAACTGTAAACAGACAAAAGTATCCTACAAAATATTGTGTTAAAAATAAACCATTATATTTTAAATAAATAAAAACAAGATAAATAAAGACTCAGAAAATGTGTCAAAATTTGGGATAGAGTATCGTCTTTATTTCGTTGTGTGTCGTAAATGTATACTATGTTTTATATTCGTACCAAGTAGCTGGTATGTTTACGTCACCACTTCCCTGTTTAACACATTGTTGATTACCCGTGTAGTAAACTTACTATAGCGCTATTTATATATATCATAAAATTTGATTGGTTCTAGTATGATTGAATATGATTCGTGTGCCATGTGTATATAATCTGAAACCGTTAGTACGGTTGTAATCCGTACAATATATAGTGAGGCGTATTTTTCTATAATCCGTATCTGGAAAACGTTTCAATGTGTGGATTATGTGTTTGAGCCGTGAATCGCCGTGAATGCTACAATTGAATAATAATTTACGCGATTATTACACTACGGTCGCGTATTATGGCTATTTGTGTGTTTATTAGATTACCAGTTAGTATAGCTATTATTGTTAAGTGTAGATATGATGCGGATGGTGATTGTAACGAATTGGTGGTCGGCCAACAAACGGCAACTGTATTTATGAGCGCTCGGGGTATCTTCGAGTGCAGGTAATGTTGATATTGTTATGTGTTACCGTCTTATATTGCAGTTGTGTCTAATTTCATATATATTAATGTATTGCATCGTGATTGAAACTGATTTCATAGATTTATATTGTGGTAGTTGTTACAATGTTCTTTTTATTTTTGTTTTTGTTTTTTTGTAATGTGGCTGTGTGAGCTGTGTGATTCTGTGTATGGTGATATGTATATGCATAGCTTTCAATAGCCTGTAAATGCTTGTTATAATCACTGTTGTTTATATAATATCATCTAAAAGATGTTAGCGTTCTAAATTCGATCTCAATCGTTTGTATGTTAATATGTATTTATGATACTGTCTTACTAATAAGCCGCCGTATAGCGGTGTACATTTATCTATAATGTTATTGTATGCTCGTGTATCCCATCCGTCTTATATCACGCATATTTAAATTAACATGCATGAAATTTGTGAGATGTCTTATGAAGTCATATCCTAAATATAAGTTTGTTCTAACATGGAAGTGGTAATGATTATATTATCTGTGTAAAATTTATAATGATGATTGTATTTGACCAAAGGATATTAGAACAAGTGTCCATGTATTTATATTGTCTAATTATCTAGTATCCGGTGTACGTAATTGATGTGAAATGTTTGGCTGTAATTGGGAAAGTATACTCGTGTGTGCACTTTCTTAAGAATTCACATCTATTTATGAATGTTTAGAACCTCTATTATGTGCTCGAGTAAAGCATAACATCAATTCTTCTTGACATCACTATCGATTTCTAGTGAATGTGATTCCATTTAGAATCACGTGATCGTACAATGCCAAGTGCCCGTATGTGTGTTTCAATTAGTGTATGTTGTGCGAAAGCCATGTAGGTGCCAAGTACATGATGTCCTCAAATATGTGTACAAATATGAGTGCCGTACCACGCTTAATTCCTGAGATAGGCGTGTCCGTTTTGTATGTTATGTGTTGGTTAGTACTGTTGAAGTTTATATCAAACCGTTGAGCGTATATTCGAAACCGTACGCGTATTGTGGTAATACGTTTCTTGAAAAAAAACTGTGAAAAGTTTTGGCCCATTTATAGGCCCTTTCTTTTTTTAAATATGTACCTTTTTTTTGTCAGTATACTTGGTAACTGTTCTAATGTTAGTCTACCCTCTTCCTTCCTTGTTTATCACAGGTTCGACGAAGCATATTGAGGCCTGTCTTATTAATAAACGATGTTTAGAGATAAACTCTGCCTGCCGCGCGTAGTCAACCCCTTCATATAAGTTATATAAATATCTTCTCGAGTATAAATATGATTTACTTCTTGATTGATATCAATTGTGTGTGTGTGTGCGAGTGTGGTGTGGTGTCCTCTGAAGCATACTCGAGTTGGGCGCGCATTCCGTGACTCCGCCACAGCGCCTTACACGTTCCGACTTCTACGTAATAGTGTTATATGTTCCGACTCTTACGTAATAATATTATACATGGTCCGCCTCCTACGTATTAATGCTACATGTTCCGACTTGTTACGTAATAAAATCTGCTTGTACCAGACTCTTGTGTAATGATGTTGTACATGTTCCGCCTCCCACGTAATAATGTAACACGTTCCGACCTCTACGTAATGGTGTTACATGTTCCGACTCTTGCGCAATAATTTTATACACGTTCCGACTTGTTACGTAATAATGTTTACATGTTTTAGGGTTTTATGTTATACAGCTCAACACCACTCAGGGCGGCTATGCAACACGCTCGAAGCTACGGTTGCTCACCGACTGTAGTGCTCACGCAAAGTTCAATGCGCCGTGTCCTCAGGGTTGCTCGCCTCTGAGTAAGAATAGATGGGGTGCTCGCCCGTATTCTCAGAATTTAAATAATCATACATGGTATATTCTGTCGACTGGATGTCACGCAACATGCTCGAAGCTGCGGCCAATAACCGAGCTCACACAAAGTTCAATGCACCGTGGCCTCAGGGTTGATCGCCCCTGAGTTAAAATCAGCAGGGTGCTCACCTGTACTCTAAACATATAGATATCCTTGCCACACACAACCACCACTCATTGTTTAATGACTTTCTGTGTCGTATGTTTATGTCACTTGTGTTATGTCATGCCTATGCATGTAAAATATTGAGCTGTGGTATTCGTGTCGCATCAAAGACACTATATCACATCACCAACATATCACTAGGATGTATTAATGTTTTCTTAACGTGATCTTGTAAGTATGCACATATATCTAGGCGCTACAGTATCTGTCATACATATGTATACCTCAAGATCTATGTAAGTTTAATTTAATAGTAATAATGTTCGAGTGTGTATCCTCTCGTGACATACCAACGACCAAGGCCGCTCTAACCTTGGACCAGCCGTCGCTGTCGTCAACTCTCGCGAGTTTGGATTCGCTTACGGTATACAGTCACTACGTTCGGATCATCAAAGGCATCCGCTGTCACCCATGTGGGAGTCCTCCAACCAGCGCACCAGGTACTCCGATTGCTGAGTCGCCTCATTGTGGCGGTGTGATATGATGTGCCGGAATGTCAATTCCCCTTCTCTCCATAGCGATTCATCTAGCGGTGGCTCCGTAGCCCGGTGAACTAACCGAATAATCTCCACATTAATTGAACGGTTTCTGAGTTCCGGTGGTTTGCTGCCATCCTTGTCTCGTAGATGGTAACTCTGATTCACACGACTATGGATTACGTATGGACCCAACAAAGGCTTCATGGCTTTGGTAGTCGCTCCCTGTGCGAGTATCATGACAACGTCCTCTGGCTTAAATTGAATTAAATCAAACTTCCGCATTTGGTCAGTAGCCTCCGCCATAGCATCTGTGTATTTGATAGTTTTCTGATGAAGTTTTGGCAAATCGTCGTCTCAAGGTCATCCAATCGCTTAAGCCATGCATTATTTGTTGTCGGGAGTATGATCAAGTAAGTCATCAGTCATGTCTGCAAATGGAACATGGCGGCGCCCAAAGTAAACACTAAATGGTGCTGACTTATGCCGACGTGAGTAAAAGGTAAGCGTTCATCCTACAACTCCGGACAGCCCACGCAAAGCGCGCGCACACATTTGTGAACTTCTTTGTGTCGGCGCTCTGCCGCACCCAATGTTTGAGGACGGTATGGTTGAGATGTCTTGTGTATAATTCCGAGTGCTCGTGTTATAGACCTGACAATGTTGTTGACAAATTCAGTCCCCTCATCACTCTGAATTTTCCGAGGGAAGCCATGCTCACCAAATCCCGATACAATCTCTGTCGCCACCGTCTTGGCATCTTTTGCAGGCAGCGCCCGTAGAATAGAGTATCCAGATGCAACATCAAAAACATGTAAAATAAACTTGTTGCCTCTAGTAGACGATACAGCCATCGGGATGAGATTAATTTGAATATGATCCCATGGATAACGTGCCGTAATGCTCATTAATGGATGAAATCCCTGCTTCATAGTGTCATTACCTAAGCATGTGCGACATAGTTTACGGACCTCTTCCGTTATAAGAATCATTTGGTTCCAGTTGTGTCCATCGTCTCGCATCTGTTGCACTGTGACCGCTGGAGCAGGATGTCCTTGTTCATGAAACTGCCAAGTAAGCTGCACTCGGTGATTAGCTTCTTCATGTCCAGGATGATTGATTACCGTCGCCCCCGCACAAATCTCAGGCATCTGTTCCGCAATCTGGCGTGTACGTCTGGTCATGGCTGGTTGCGCCCATGTCTCTTGATAACAATTATTAGCTTCCTCACACACAGGTACTTCGAGACCCAAATTACACCAAAATGATGGAGA